ACACACACACACACACACACACACACACCTGGGCTACCATAGATTTTGTCTTAATGAGCACACACACACACACACACACACACACACACACACACACACACACACACACCCTCCCGAAACAGTTTTATACACAGAATTCTCCTCCTATTCTTTCCCTTCCTAAAAACCTGCTGACAACCATGGAAAGATAAAGGAAAAGGACAGAAGGAAAAGAAAGCCCAAGAAGGTCATGCCACTTTGACATGCGGCCCGTTTGTCGGTGTCAGAACTGCTGGGGGAACAGCTCTCGGTCATGAGCACTAGCCCATCTGCTGGTCTCTCAGGAGAAGAGCTGCAAAAAGGCACCAGAGCATTGCCACTGGGTCCAACCAAGCTCAAGCAGCAGGGCATCTGTGCCCTGGTACAGAGGGGTCGGGGACCATACTCAGGGAACAGAAGACAGGCGCCAAGCCCATTCTCTCCCACTGGGCAGTTATCTCCAGTCTTAGCTGTCTGCTCTAACTCCATGGACTACACAGGACTCTTGTGAGGCTCCGGCAAGACCACAGTCATGTTAGGCAGGCCCTACACTGATGTCCAGGAGAGAGCTGATAATGGAAGATGTGTTCCCTTAGATTCCACAGCCTATAGGATCGGCAAGCTCTCCTGAAGTCATTCATGGTCCAGTGGCTCCTGAAAATCAAGCTGTGTGCACATGAGACAAACTATCCATTTTGGGGGTTGAGTGAAAAAAAAAAAAAAAAAAAAAGGCTGATCCAAATGCCCTCAGGGGCTTTACAGATGGGAACTCTTGGCTGTGATCTGTGGTCAGTAAATACTCTAGGTGTGGAGAATCTTGCTGTTAATCTCTGGTTCACTCAAGCTCTGTTACAGGCAGAGAATGGGACTTCAGTGAAATTCTCAAACCCTTTCCAGTTGTCTTTAAAAGTCATTACTACAAAGTAATTCTTTTTACACCTAAAGTGATTACATGCATAAAACCTTACAATGAGGCATCCAGAGCACACACACACAGCAGATCCTTTTCTATGAACCGTGCAAGCACACACGATGAACTACCTATGGGGTCAAAGGACAGAATTCACAACAGTTGTTTGTCATGGCCTGTGTCATGGCCGGTCTACCCATCTACATGTCTGGTTTCCTGCTTAGGGATGGACCTTGAACAATAAGAAAAGGGGCTCCACTCCGCTCTGCTTCTGAATGTTGACATCACCCTTTGTATCTCAAGCTGATGACTTCATTAAGAGCAGTCTGCAGCAAGAGATGTAACGACCCCACAGAGCAGTCGGTGCATGTGGCCATATTTTTTAACGGTTATGTCACCCTGCAGGGGCAAAGCATAACTTCTTTATCCCGCCTGCCACTCAGCATTTCCCAGACTGCCAGGGATGCGCATTAACATACTGGGTGGTTAATGTGTTAGCAGTCGGCGAGCGCCGGACTGAAAGTCTCTGAGTCCCTCCCGTAGCTGATGGCACACACCCCAGGGACCACAGCAGACGCATTTCAGACAAGAAGCAAGCAAGCTTTCCCTCCATCTGCCCCCTGTGACACATGCCTAGTTTTCCCTTCACCCCCATCAAGCCGAAGCCATGCAGAGCAACAGCGTGGTGGCCGCCACTAATAAGCACACCAGGACAACGGGGCTCACTTTCTCCCAGCTGCTTCTGCAGCATCTGCAGCTCCTGCTGAGCCTCAGCCAAGGACACCGCTGGTGTCTCACAGCAACCGAGGAGGGGAGGGCCAGAGGGGCCGAAAGGCATGAAGCTGGGTGGAGTTGAGGGCATTGGTGCCTGGGCAAGGCTAGCCGGCTTGGGTGAGGAGTTAAAGTGAAAGCCTAGAAGTAAAGAGTTAGGGAGAAAGGAGACACCATTAGAGAGAAAGCAAGAGAAAAAAAAAAAAAACAGAGAAGGCAGATCATCCCCTGATCAGATGTGGGCCTGTCATGTGGCCAGCACTTACTGTGGTCCAGGCTAAGCCAGCAAGGCCAAGTGTTAATCCTAAGAAGCAGCCTGGCAGGTGTCTCCTCCTTATCCCTTTGCCGGGCTCACCTGCATGTATATCCTCTGCTCGACATGGAGGCAAGATGGCGTGACTCACGCCTACTGTACATCAGGATGGCTATGCTTACTTCCTCACAGGCCCTGGGATGCTGGTACCAGCCCTTCTCTCTGAGAAGAGACTATTTGCTCACCCAGAACTCCTTTTGTGACTGTGTTATGATCCTTCTGAGGAGGGCAGGCTAGACCAGGTATTCCTGGTAGGTGTAGTGTGGGCGGGACTGTGGTGGGAACAAACTTCAGAAATCCAAAGCGGAGTGTTCATTCACAAGAGGAGCAACAGCCATGGTGGTGTGGCTGAGACAGTGGCTTCCAAGCCTGTCTGAGACAACTATTTAGCATTTGTATTAGCTTATATTAATTGTACGGGAGAATGGACTTCATTGTGCCATTTCTGTATGTGTATGTGTTATACTTTGACCGTATTTTCCCAGGAGGGCGCTGTCTTGTTTTTCCTCCTTCCTTTCCCAGCCCCTTCTTCTCGGAAGGTTCCACCCCTCCTCTGTCTCCTTCTCTTTCCTCCCACCTCCGTTGACAGGCTCTGACTACGCAGGACAGACTAGCCTCACGTGCTGGGTTGAAGGGTGCACCACCAACTCTGTACACACAGGCTGCCTCGGCGCATAGTAGTAGAATGATAAACTCTTTGAGTAGGACCCGGCAGTTTAATTAAAAAAAAAATATTTTCCCCCTAGTGACCCATGAAGTCCATGTGCAGCCAAATCTTGAGAAACACTATGAAAATTGGATGTTTTGTTTCTTTTTTCCAGTGGGGATCAGGGCAGAAATCAATACTATCCTGAGGAAGAGGCCTTATGTAGAAGACATGACGACATCTACAATACATCATTGATCCCCTGGTGCTGGTACTGCGTCAGAGCCATACTGAAATCACCCAAACTGCCTAGAGACACAGCCTGGCCATCTTTTAGGAAGGCATTGTGATGTTAGAACCCCTGACCGTAGGCTCTGTTTGAGCTGAAAGCCTTTAGGCAGGTTATCTATGCTCGGGGTGAGTAGCCCATCCTTCACGATTTCTTGGTTCACTTGCTGCTCACTCGGAGCCAGACCCACAGAGTCCGGGCTCAGATAGAGAAAAGATACATACCCCTCCTCCTCCAGACTGTGGTTGAACTGCCTGTGGGAGGGGTGAGGGTAGCACAGAATAGGACTGTGCTTTTGGGGACCCAGACCTGAGCACATATGACCTGAAGGTAGCCAGCCATAGAGGAAGGCAGGAAGTGGGGGGTGGGCCTTTCTCTATAGTCTCTGAAGCAGAGCTCTCAGTGAGCAGTGAACACTGACACCCGTACTAAGACACGAAGATGAATGCGCCCCATATATACATGGTACACATCCTGGACTATGGACCCATACATAAATCCACCGACAGTAATGTAAAAGAAACGTCATTGAGCTGTGACGTCAGCTGCGTCACCTATGGACAAAGGCATTTGCACCACTTAAGTAGGTAGCATAAATGGGATCGATGGATGAGAGTTTCTTCCTGTTCTTTAGCTATTATAATCCTACAAACACGTTTGCCTCTGTTCCCCGGGGTGGGTTAGAGAAAGAAATGGAGATGCTTATTTAAAAGGATTTGTCAATTCTTGGTCAAAACTGGTTCATAGATCAAAGCTTATTGCAGACTTCTTGTTTTCTCATTTCTAAAAATCAGACACAGATGGTGAATGAGAACGGCCTGATTGGTCTAGGATATAATAGATTTAGGCTTCTAACAGTTTCCACCCTTATCCCTGAAGGAAAACCGAGCAGGCAGCTGAGAGAGAGAGAGAGGAAGCTACCGCCCCACGGGCTGTGGCATACCTGAACAGGCCTGGCTGGCCTCCTTGAGGGGGTTCTGGGGAGTTGGCAAGCTGATGGGGCTGTTGCTGGACTCGACCTTCAGCCCCTGAGATGCACTGGTGGCTGATGGTTTAGAAGACAACACAGTACAATGACTCAAATGATGGATGGACTCTACAAAACCCACGAATGAAAGAAAATGTTTGGTGTTCTCCAGAGAACTGGGACCCGGGCCTTATATTCTCCAGGAGTACCAGGGCCGGAGGCTGGCTGTCTTGAAATGCCCTGGGGACAAGGACCCTTTGCAGTATCCCCTTTCTTACTCTTAGATAGCTCCTTCAGTGAGGGAACCACCTTTGGGGTGACAAAGGGAGTTCAGAACCTGGAAATCCTGAAGTAGCACACGTGGCGGGATCTTTGGAAGCCCGCGACGACTCGGGGGCCACTGTGCAGAAACTGTAAGGACATGGGGCATTTAAGGACGGAGGTCTATCAGGCAGACTCAGTGGGCAGTAAAGGTTGGCCACCACCTCCTCACTTGGGATTACATGTCAGCATGTGCATGATGACGGAACTCAAGAGAGACAGAATTACTTAGAAAGTCAGCAATAAAGCCGGGATCTAACCCATGGGGGCCTGTGCTTGGGACTTGGTCCCAGAGCCATGTTCCATGCACCAAAGTGGACTATAAGGCCTGGATCCCAGGGTCTCTTCTCAGTCTAGATGGAGGAGGTGCCACTCCGACAGTGGAGGCTACCTGAGTGGCCAGGTGAAGACTTCTTCTCTTCATAGGCTGTGTACTCGCTGGCTACGTCCATGTCAGAGCAAGCTTCTATCTCATCAGACAGGAAGGACGTGCTGCTGGCCGAGCGGTGGGAGTCAGACAGGGCATGGCTGCTGGGGGGCGAGAGAGACCGGCTATCCAGCTTGGCCTGCAGGACTTCGATCACTTTGTCCTTCTCCTGGAGCTCCCTGCTGAGCCTGGTGGGGAGAGGAGCAGGCCACGGGTGAGTCCAAGGTCACCTAGCACAGCTGGCCTTCCCTAATGCCCGCAGGGAGACCCACGTAAGCCAAGGGCGCCATTCTGTACAGAATCCGAGAATGACACATCTCCGACTGGGCGTGTGGGATGTCAATGGGTAGACCACAGCAGCCACACAGTGCCCAGGCCACAGGCTGGCACCGGCAGAGGCACAGCCAGTCCTTTAAGGCACGGCTGCCTAACGGGTGATCCCTAAAACAGCGGCAGTCTGAGGACTATGAGCATCTCCAACAAGTATAAAAAACTAAAAGGAAGCCTTAAAAAATGTGGAACAAACGCCCTAACACCCAAAGCTAGGGTAAGTGGAGACATCTAGTTAGCTCAAGTGCAGGCCCTTTATGTGGCTGTGATAAATGAGGAAACCAAAATGAATCACAAACACCGTGTCCTTCACCACTGATATTCTGAGAAGCACTCGCAGGATCTCAGGCACAAGCACTACATAAAGGGGTCAAAGCAGTGGCCACACGTGACCCTGGGCTCAAAGCAGTGGCCACAAGTGACCCTGGGCTCAAAGCAATGGCCACAAATGTCCCTGGGCTCAAAGCAGTGGCCACAAGTGTCCCTGAGTTCAAAGCAGTGGCCACAAGTGTCCCTGAGCTCAAAGCAGTGGCTACAAGTGACCCTGGGCTCAAAGCAGTGGCCACAAGTGTCTCTGAGTTCAAAGCAGTGGCCACAAGTGACCCTGAGCTCAAAGCAGTAGCCACAAGTGTCCCTGAGTTCAAAGCAGTGGCCACACATGACCCTGAGCTCAAAGCAGTGGCCACAAGTGTCCCTGAGCTCAAAGCAGTGGCCACAAGTGACCCGGAGCTCAAAGTAGTGGCCACACAGGACCATGAGCTCAAAGCAGTGGCCACACGTGACCCCGGGCTCAAAGCAGTGGCCACAAGTGACCCTGAGCCAGTGTCTTCGTGAGTGTTCCAGACTGAACATGTCGTCTTCCAGTGTCTCTGCACCGTCTCTGCCTCTTTCTCTACATACTGTCATAGGATTGATTCTCCAAGAAAATAAAGTGACTACTGAGCTAGCTGTCCATAAAGCCCCGGGGCAGGCCAACCTCGCAGGAAGCTAAGACTCTTGGGACACACATGGTTCGTTCATGAGTCAGGCTGCTTCTAGCTTACCACGTCTAGAGCATTACTACGGCCATGAAATTATAACAAAAGAAAAGAATTTGGAAAAACCAGTCAGTGTTCAATGAACAAATGAATTAATCTCCTTCAGCTTCCCTTCCTGGTCTGTGAACTTGGGGCTACCCTGTCTGGGTCCCTTTACCAGACTGTCTTCTGAATTACCTGAGGGCCAGCGGCTCAAGCCCAGCTTCTTCTTTCTCACTTTTATGATCCTCTGAAAATAAAATTTAGAAAGTTACAGAAGTTAAACAGGTTCCACATCACACATTAGAAAGCACGGGTTCCACGAGGACACAGAACAGTGATTATGCCACACATCGGTTCAGGAGAACTATTTTGAGTGCTCAAGTTCTGTCTGTCTGTCTGTCTGTCTGTCTGTCTGTCTGTCTGTCTGTCTCTCTCTCTCTCTCTCTCTCTCTCTCTCTCTCTCTCTCTGTGTGTGTGTGTGTGTGTGTGTGTGTGTGTGTGTGTATGCCTGGGGAGGCCAGTGGGCAACTGTGGGTAGCCACCCACCATTTTCTTCCTTCTTTTTTGCGACAGTCTCTCACTGAAATCGGACTCACCAGCTAAGCCAGGCTGTCTAGCCAGCAAGCCCAGGAGCCCCGTCTGTCTCTGGCTCCTCGGGGCTGTGACTGCAAGTGCAAGTTACCATGCACAGGCTTTCTTAGGAAGAGTCGAGTCTGGGGACTGAACTCGGGTCTTCTTGCTTGTAAGGCAAACACTCACTGACGGAGCTACTGCCCCAGCCACAGGCGATATCTTTTTAATCAGCATAAATTAACAGAACAAAATGATGGATTCCACGATGAGACTTCTGCAGATGTGCACAAGATACTTGGATCATGAAGTCCTCTGTGGCTCACACTCACCCTCACCTCTGCTGCTGGGCCCGCGTCTGTTCCCTGGTAACTGACTTCCTGCTTCCATGCTCGCTGTTGCTAATGTCTTACAGTTGCCTCCCGATTCCACTTGTGAGAGAACACCTATGATAACCCTTCTTTAGAGAGGTGAGCAGGCAGCTCACCTGAGCTCACCGGGGAAGTCACCCCCCCTGACCTGGTGCTCACAATCATGACTTCACATGTCCAAACTGGGGCTGAAAACTGAAACATATTTTATATCACTGGCCACAAGCTGCTTCCCCGTCTATTCTCTGCCATACTCCAGCCTCCACATCCCGTGGCAGCCTGGCTTCTACATACACACCCACGTGACCACCGTCTCTTTCCTCTCAACCTTCTTTTGTATCTGAGATGACAAGTCCCTTTTCCTGTAGGTTGATCCAAATTCCTAATTGTACACCTTGACCTCTTCAGTTCTGGGATTATAGAAGTGTGCCACTATGCCTAGCTCTACAGAGGTGACAGCCACGCTTGGTGCCACTCAAAGGAGTCCTGATTCAGGAACCTGGACTCTGGGGTCGAGTGCCGCTGTGGAGGAATGGCGGCCACCTGAGCCTAGGACTGTGCCGGGGGCCAACTCACTGGTGCTCAGTTTGCTGGTGAGTCTCTCCGTCAGCTGACCCCCTTGGGCTAGCTGCTCCCGGAAGCTCTGGCCCAGGTAGTAGTCGATGTCATTGCTCCTTAGGAGGTCCTCAAAAGACTTCACTGTGTCTTTTGCATGTTGGGTGAGAAGATAGCAAATACCTCTCCCTTCTCGGATTTTTTGACGCAGATATGATAGTTCGCGGGCCTGATCCTGAATCAAGGAATCGTATTTTCTAGTGCAGGGAAGAGAGGGGAGAAGAAGATTGAAAAAAAGAGTGAGTGTAAGTTATAGGGGCTTCCTCTGTGAGACCACACCTAAGGCACTCCCTGACTTGGGCACTGTACTAGCCACGGAAAGTGTTGAAAAGTAAATTCCACACCAAGAAACTACTGTACCAAAACGTTTAGGAAGCTATTGTTCTTAACTCTTCTAGAATGTTAGTCTCATATTCAAAACTAAACCATAAGATCTATGAGAGTAAAGAAAATCCAAGCCGGGCAGTGGTGGTGCACGCTTTTAATCCCAGCACTCGGGAGGCAGAGGCAGGCAGATCTCTGAGTTTGAGGCCAGCCTGGGCTACCAAGTGAGCTCCAGGAAAGGTGCAAAGCTACACAGAGAAACCCTGTCTCGAAAAACCA